AAAGGGATATACAGTTGAAGTCAGAATTTTTAGCGCCCCTGTTTATTTTTTCCCCAATTGCTGTTTACGGAAAGATATTTTCAACACATTTCTAAACATAATAGTTTTAGTAACTCATTTCTAATAACTGATTTATTTTATCTTTGCCATGATGACAGTAAATAATATTTGACTAGATATTTTTCAAGACTCTTCTATACAGCTTACAGTGACATTTAAAGGCTTAACTAGGTTAATTAGGTTAACTAGACAGGTTAGGGTAATTAGGCAAGTTATTGTATAACGATGGTTTGTTCTGTAGACTATTGAAAAAATAAATAGCTTAAAGGGGCTAATCATTTTGACCTTAAAATGGCTTCTTTTTTTATTAAAACTGCTTTTATTTAAGCCAAAATAAAACAAATAAGACTTTCTCCAGAAGAAAAAATATTATCAGACATACTGTGAAAATTTCCTAGCTCGGTTCAACATCATTTGGGAAAAATTTAAAAAAAGAAAAAAAATCAAAAGGGGTTGGAATGTTGGAGATCTGTAACTACTGACTTCCATAGTATTTATTTTTCCTACTATGGAATTCAATGGTTAAAGGTATTCAGCTATCTACAAAAGTTCTTATTTTGTGTTCCAACAGAAAAAAAATTACTCATAAAGGTTTGAAACTACTTGAGGGTGAGTAAATACTAAGTACATTTTCAGTTTTGGGTGAACTATGCCTTTAAGCTTTGAATGTCTGTCCTCATATTTTATGAAGTTATTACCCTAAAAATGTGATTGTTTTGTTGTATTACAGCCTATAATTTTGTATGAGTTATATACTTCCCATAAAGGCCTGGCTAAAGAAAGTAAAGTGTTTTTTTTTTTTTTTTACTACAGTAAACATATTGTTTTAAAATGAAGTATAACCTAATATTCAAAGGTACGGAAAAATTATTGAATGCTAAAAAATGCACATGGTCACAAATGTTTTGCGTTTTGTCACTTAAAAGAATAACTATGCTAGAATGAAATATACACTNTAAGAAAAAGGTAAGAGCACTATAGTAACATGGGTTTTATTTGACCAATTTATTAATATTACAAAATTTCAAAATGGACAAATTTATTGCCTCTGTACTTTTAGCGTTAAATGAGAGCTTGTTTTTATTAATCAGGAATTGCTTGGATTTTTAAAATGTATTTACGTAATATGTTTTACATTTTATTTAATTTGCACACTAGGTCAGAAAAAAGCTACATTATTTACAACAAAAAAATAGTATGCAAATTACAAACACTGCTGAAACAAAACTGAGTAAACTTGTTGCTTTCAAAGAGATTTTTTGACTTGGACTTTTTTTTAAGTGAATAAAACCTTTGCATTAAAATGATTAAACAAATTAACTGTGTATAATTCCATAATAATAATAATAATAATAATAATAATAATAATAATAATAATAATGATGATGATGATGATGATGATGATGATGATGATGATGATGATGATGATGATGATGATTTAAGTTGACTTAAGTGTTCCAAGTTACAAAACCTAAACATTCAGAGAGTGTTGTGATGAACATGAGGTGTCTCTTTATACAAAATAGATTTGAGAATTTAAATTGAATTGTTCATCTTTATTTTTGAGGTTTAGTGAAGGCAGGTTATTTTTTATGCTTAGGACTAACAGAATATAATTCTAAGATCACACAAGGGTTAAGTAAAGTAACTAATTGCTTTTTACGTGTACATTTAATCCTTAAATCCAAAAGCTATGGAGTTTGATTCATTTAAATGGCATTTTAATGTGCACGGTAGGGTATTTGATCTGATAAAGCTCTCATGAAGGCAAAGTAAGACGCATCTGTTAAGTTTCTTAAATATTAAGAAGACATGCTGGGGGTTTCATTAGTACTTATTCTGCTGGTGGGTTCTCAGTTGTCACTGTCTGACCCCAAAGGTGTTTAAGCTTTTAAGCAGAAGGCTTATACTGTATATTACCAAATGGAGACCTAATTCATGAAATGATAAACTGACACATGGCTAGATTTGCCCACTGATACAACTTTTTAAAATTGCATCAGATAAACTGAATGGTTGTTTATTTGCTACACTGTAAAATGTAATTAGCTGACTTATACATGAGTATACAGTTGAAGTCAGAATTATTCGCCCCTCTGTTTATTTTTTTCCCACGATTTCTGTTTAAGAGAGAAGATTTCTAAACATGATTTTTTTTTATAACTCACCTCTAATAACTGATTTATTTTATCTTTGCCATGATTACAGTAAATAATATTTGACTAGATATTTTTTAAGACACTTTTATACAGCTTAAAGTGACTTTTGAAGGCTTAACTAGGTTCATTAGGTTAACTAGGCAAGTTATTGTATAACGATGGTTTGTTCAGTAGACTATCAAGAAAAAAAAAAATAATAATACCTTAAAGAGGCAAATAATTTTGACCTTAAATTGGCTTATAGAAAATTAAAAACTGCTTTCTTTCTAGCCAAAATAAAACAAATAAGACTTTCTCAAGAAGAAAAAATATTATCAGACATACTTTAAAGTCTCCTTGCTCTGTTAAACATCATTTGGCAAATATTTAAAAAAGAAAAAAAGAAATGGGGGGGGGGGGGGGCTAATAATTCTGACTTCAACTGTATATACAGTAAGTATACATATAAGTCAGCTTAACAGTTCAAAGTTACAACAGGTTTCTTTCATTTTTAAGTGAAGTAACTAATATTTTTTTTTAAGTTTAGGATGCGATTCATTTAGCAAACATGACCTCATATCACCTATCTCATAATAATAATAATAATAATAATAATTCCTTACATTTATATAGCGTTTTTTTGGGCACTCAAAGCGCTTTACACATAGGGGGTTATCTCTCATCCACCACCAGTGTGCAGCATCCTCCTAGATGACACGGTAGCAGCCATTTTGCACCAGACCACACACCACACACAAGCTGATTGGTGGAGAGGAGACAGAGTAATGAGGCCAATTATGATATGGGGATGGTTAAGAGGCCATGATGGACAGAGACCAGTGGGCAGATTTGGCCAGGTTGCCGGGGTTAAACCCCTATTCTTTTTCGAAGGGACATCCTGGGATTTTTAATGACCACAGAGAGTCAGGACCTCGGTTTAACATCTCATCCGAAAGACTGCGCTCACTGAGCAGTATATAGTCCCCGTCACTATACTGGGGTATTAGGACCCACACAGAGCGTAGGTCGGGCGCCTCCTGCTGGCCAAACTAACACCGCTTCCAGCAGCAACCTAGCTTTCCCATGTAGTCTCCCATCCAGGTACTGACCAGGCACAGCCCTGTTCAGCTTTAGTGGTAGACAATGTGAGTTGCAGAGAGCTAGCTGCCGCATATCATAATTTCCTGATCCTCTTCCTCCATCTTTCCTTTATCATCTCTCTTCACATCTCTTCTATATAAATAGTTAAAATGGTCATAGTATCAAAACATGAAACAGAGATGAACTATCGTGCATTAGGCGATCCTTTACATTGTCACAACAACTCTGAATGAAGGAATGGCGACTTGTTTAATTGAGTTTGTTCTGCGGGGTCAAAGCAGAGGCGGGCGATAAGCAATACTAATTCAGTCAGTCACACATGCATGTCACAGTGTTTCAAACTCCGGAGGTAAGCTTCGAACCTTTGCTAAACCTGGTGGGCAGCACAAGCTTAAAGGAATCAACCGTAATGCATGGTGGCCAAAAGGTTGAAAAGAATATAAAATCTAGATCAACCATAAGATACAAGACACGATTCCTTTTTTTTTAATTCTGCCCACCCCCATCTCTCAGCAGGTGCTGTGCAGCAAGGTCAAAATAAGCTCAAGGGAAGAAGGGGATATGAGGATATCTAATAAATGGATTTTTCTCATATCTCAACTCAATGAATTCACTTCACACCACTTCCCTCTGGCCACTCCGACATTAGAAAAAAGCAATACACCGAGGCGCAAGCTGAGAATTTAGACTACCGAATTGTTGTGAGATCGCTAACAGCGAATCATCCTCAAATCATGTCTTGTGATTTAAAAGCAGCACATGATTCCCCAACAAGAGAAGGTGACTGGAAAAAATAGCTGAGCAGTCTGCTAGTGCAAAGGTACATAGCTAATAAGTCACCAGACTGTTAATGTATTCTTGAATAAAAACAAAACGCACAATGTTCATGTCATTGCTGTCTCATTCTGAGTCACTGACCTTCTCAAAGAGTGTGACACCCCTATTATTCTCTTTTGAAGTCCCCCGGTAGCAGAAAGAGGGAGAGGGAATGGGAGAGAGGAAAAGAGAGGGGGACCATCTGTCAACTGCCCCAGAGATCAATGGCACCAGCGGCAAGGCTAAATATGTTGCCCACCATGACTTGAAAACAATTCAACCCAGCAAGGTTTATTTTTAAGTTCCGGCTACGACATTGAGCATCATTTATTGTAGTGTTTATAAAATAAGCTTGTTTACAAAAATGCATGCTGGCTTTTCACTGATGTAGTATTCGTGAAGTATATTTATATAACATGAGTATATCAGATTCGTCATCATAAAACGGCAGCTAAGGACAGAATGGTGGAGATTAGGGCAGTGTGTCAACTCTGGTACAACAGAAAAGCGAATATTCCCCCGAGTCTCCCCCCTGATCGAAGCATAGATTGGTCTCACCCAATACGTGAACAGCAGCAAGACATGAGCTTGCAATGTAAACAAAAAAATAACACGGCGAATATCCAACACAACCAGACATATTTACAAAAAAGCAAGAAGCATACTTATTGGCATGCAGGTTGAGCCAAGAATAGATGCGTGAAAAGAGAAGGTGCGCGTAGTTATGTGAGCAGCACAGGATGAATGAGAAATACAAAGCAAGGTGGTTGCTAAGCAAGAGCAGGGCTGGGTTGAGCTATGAAGGTGATGCCGGATGCATCAGCCAGGCAGAATTGCTCATTCCTTGGCATTGCAAGCAGATTAGAGGATCTTGTTATTACTTACCCAACATTTGACTGAAGAGGAGCTGCTCCAGGTCCCCAAGCACTGTTACAACCAGTTCGGGGTCCACCTTTAGAAAGGTCTTGTCACCTTCCTCCGGTTCCAGTCCATCTTTCCCACCTCCATCTCCTCCTGGGGTGGCTGATCCCGAAGTACCACTCAAAGATTTCTTACCATTAGCTTTAGCCTTGCTGGACAAGATCTCATCATCGGACTTGCTGTCATCAGCCGGCTCTTGAGCCTTGCTGATGGGTTTGACCTCAGCGTAAGGACTTTTAGGTATCCGACTGGGTTTCCCTAGTCTGGAAGGTGGATTAAAGGGTTTTGGCTTTCCCTGAAACAGCGAATGCTCCGATTTTGAAAGGTTCTTGGAAAGAGGGATACCCCTGCCAATGCTCCCTCCGGGATCTCTGAGCTTGCCTGATTTGTTCTGACCTGTCCCAGGTTTTTCCATGTCGTCTGACCACTTGGGCTGGTACAGGTGCATCTTCTTCTCGGCATCTGTAAGCACGCATAGATTGGTCAAGGACTTTTGTTTCCGCAAGTTGCTAGGCACTGGAAGACGACCCTCAGAGTTCCCTGCTCGGTACACCTTCAGCTCAGCCCGAGGAGTAGCCTGTGGGAGCCCTGACTTGCCCCTTTTCGCAGCCATGCCTCCAACTCCTTTGGCTCCTGCCTGGCCCTGAAGGGTCTTGGCTTTGGGGGGTTTGTCAGCCTCAGTCTCCAGATCTACTCCTTGTCTTCTTGGGCTACCCCCAAGCATTCCTCCTGCGTGAAACCATGTAAAAGCATCAGTGAGTCAAATGGTTTTACAATCGAGCAAAGAAAGAGACAAGGGTCTGCAAGCTTTGTCACTTGCTGCCAAATCCTTATTACAGGGAGAGCTATCTCTCCATTAGCACATGCAAAAAGACCATTCGGTAGATCCTGTTCTGAAGAGGTAATCCGTGTGCCTGGTGTCTTTAGCATGTAAATCCAGCATCTGGCTCCTCTCAGTTAGACTGCCTCAGTTGCAGCTGCTCTAGTGCTACCCAGTCACTCATTTTCTCTCTCTTTCTCTCTCCTCCCTTCAGCGGAGTGTCTCGCTGCTTTGCTGTGCAGCAGCAGAATGACAGCGAAGACAGACGCAGAAACGGTCCCTCCCCTTGCTCCCCCGCACTCATTCAAGCACACACACACCCGCCTCCTCCCCCTCTCTCTTATGCCTCTCTCTCTCTTTTTCTCTTCCTCCAACACACCCACTCTAAAGATGCTATACTGCTCCCCTGCACAAGTGTTACAGTATGAGGGACCTATGATAAATTACAGTGTGTTCTTAAACAGTTCCCTGCCAATATGCTTCCTCTGTTGGTCCTTGTCAGTTCACTACAGTGCTCTGTTATCATAAAACCAATAAGGACATAATTGCCAGTAATATTATGCTGTCCGAGTCAGCTTCAGTAAAAAAAAAAAAAAAAAATGCATGCTAGAAATTGATTTAGATGACTCCAGGACAAGCTTTGGGGAAAATAATTTTTGGTGTTCACCCAAAAATGAAATGTCTGTCATTATTTACTCAGCCTTCACTTGTTTGAAATCTTTTGTTTTTCTTTTTCCTTTGTTAAACACAAAATAATATGCTTTGTAAAGAAAGCTGGTAACCTTCAACTCCCTTAGTATTTGAATGTCCTACTATGAAAGTCAATGGTTTTGTTTTTCCCGTTTTCCTTAAAATGTATTATTATTTTTAGTTTAGCAGAAAAAAAAAAAAACTCAGAAAGGTCTGAAACAACACAACGGTAAATCAATTATGAGTAAATTTTCATTTTTGAGTAAACTATCCATTTAACAAGGATAGTTTATTTATTTATTTGTTTATTTATTTTGGGGGGTAGACTCCCAAAGATCATACCCAGCTAGCAAAATTCAAGCGGCTCTAATCCAGCCCACACCAGACACTTACATCCGGCTCACATACCGCATAGAATGATGGCACTTGGGCGGTCCGCTCTTGTTTGCCAGATCTGGGCCACAATTAAGCCATAGCAATATCACATATCAGCCAGAATTCAACCAAATGAACCAGAACTGATCCTATTCTGGGCCACAGTTTGCTTTTATTCTGGCCCAGATCTGGCCCACACCAGACACTTACATCTGGACCACAAACTGAATGTAATGATGGCTCTAGGGCGGTCTGCTCCTGTTTGTCAGATCTAAGAAACAAATAAGTCAAAGCACTACCACGTATTAGCCAGAACTCAACCAAATAAACCAGAACTGACGCTATTCTGGGCCACAGTTTGCTTTTATTCTGGCCCAGATCCGACCCACACCAGACACTTATATCTGGACCACATACTGAATGGAATGATGGCTCTAGGGCGGTCCGCTCCTGTTTGTAAGTTTTGGGTCACAAATAAGCCAAAGCAATACCACATTTTAGCCAGAATCCAAACAAATGAACCAGAACTGACCCTATTCTGGGCCACAGCGTGCTTCTATTCAGGCCCAAATCTGGCCTATTACTTCTAATAATGGATTAAACATTGATAAACATCAGTGAATTATATTATTTCATCACAGGTTATGCCTCACTTCATTTTGTTTGCTGTAATCAATACACTTTTCAAGCAAAGTTCTTAAAAGTTAAAGCAGTCCAAAAGAAAATTCATATTAAGAGGTTCAGGTATGAGCCCAACTAAAGCAAACACTTTTCTCCATGATGGTGACTTTAGTCTATGTGGTCCACATATGTTTTAAGATAACTGGGCCACATTTGCCATATCTCCTCTGGGCCACTTTATCCTCATATCTACATTAGCCAGTGTCTACTGTGCCGAATATTTGCCAAAAGTGGCCCACATATGTCTTAAGATAACTGGGTCACATTTTCACCTACGTGTGTGAGCCACTTTAGGTTTAGACCCAGATTAACCTTAAATTACTATGCCACTTTTTTTGCCAACTGTGGCCAACATTAAACCTTCATAATTTAGGCCAAATTTATAATTTTTCACATGGGCCACATTAGGCTCACATTAAATTTTAAAATTGAAGCTTATTGGCCTTATTCTATTCTTATTCTTATTCTAATTATTAATTATTTGTCAGTTTAGTGGCTAATTCGAACGAAATTGAAAAAAAGAGGCGTGGCACCCAACCCCACCCCGAAACCCAATCGTTATTGGGTGATGAGCAAATCGTACTAAATTGTACGAATTAGATCATACGAATTCATATGAATTTGCCATTAAATCAAAAAGTTGCCATGAGATTGTGTTGGTTCATGACTATACAAAAAAATAGAATATCGAGTATCGAAATATATTCTAATACATCGAAATAGAATAAAATATCGATTTACAACAACAAGCAGCAAAATGAGCCCCTTGGCTACGGGCCTGACTAATATAAAGTTGAAGTCAGAATTTTTAGCCCTCCCTTTGAATTTTTTTTTTCTTTTTCATATTTTCCAAATTATGGAAGGAAATTTTCACAGTATGTCTGATAATATTTTTTCTTCTAGAGAAAGTCTTATTTTTTTACTTTGGCTAGAATAAAAGCAGTTTTTAATAATAAAAAAAAAAAAAAAAACATTTTAAGGTCAAAATTATTAGCCTCTTTAGGCAATATTTTTTTCGATAATCTACAGAACAAACAATCATTATACAATAACTTGCCTAATTCCCCTAACCTGCCTAGTTAACCTAATTAAACTAGTTAAGCCTTTAAATGTCACTTTAAGCTGTATAGAAGTGTCTTAAAAATATCTAGTCAAATATTATTTACTGTCATCATGACAAAGATAAAATAAATCAGTTATTATAGATGAGTAATCAAAACTACTATGATTAGAAATGTGTTGAATGAATCTTCTCTCCGTTAAACAGAAATTGGGGGGAAAAATAAATAGGGGGGGGGGGGCGAATAATTCTGACTTCAACTGTTTATAAAATGATATTCATTCCTGGCGGGTATTCACTCATATCCACTCCTTCTCACCAATGTCACGAGCAATTATACGCCCTTATTTTGAAAAAAGCTGGAAACCGGTAATTATTAACACACATAGTAGGAAAAACAAATACAGTTGAAGTCAATGTTTATCAGTTGCCAGTTTTGTGCTAAATATCTTCTTTTGTTCAACTGATGAAAGATACTCACATAGGTAAAATGATGACAGAATTTCCAATTTTGAGTGAACTACCCCTTTAACTCACCATGTGTCACCTTGAATTACCCCTAAAAAGAAAAGATTGAGATTCGGAAAGAACAGCCTCGATTCTGTCAGAGGATGGACCTAATTTTTCACCAGCACTTGGAAGGGGATGTCACAACAATACGATGCACACAAGACCGCACACAGTTCCTTCCTCTGACGCCGAAAGGGATCTAGGCATGTTTGAATCAATTTTTGAGAGTGCTCTACTTAGTTCTGTCATTTCACCTCAACAAAACCAAGCTCTACCAAACAGACCATCCGAGTGGAAATAACTGACCTCATACAACTTCTTAGCTCAAGGACAGAGGGTTTATGAAGCAAGATTAAAAAGAGCCGCTACATTTACTATTCTCTCTGTATTCTTATCAAGTTTGCAAACAAAGCTTCATCTACAGAGGAGATTTAGAGAATTGTATATTTCTAACAACATAAACTCATTGAATCAATAAGTTCAAGTAAAGTGCATGCTTTCAAGGTGGTGCATTACCTTATCCATTAATATGATGGTGTAAACACCTCAGTTTCTTCCCATCATGGACTTAATGCACTAATTCATGATGGCAGCTTAAAACCCAGCACTACGTGAGTCAATAAGGAAATCGCTGAACAAAGTCTATGAAAGTTCTCTGAAATATCTTGGCGGTAATCCATAGGGCAAACGGAAATATTCAAATTCAGCAAATAGCTTTAAATGAAAACACTGTTGAAGCAGTGCTTTAGAGACTGTTATGAACAGTATTCAAAAAATCTCATTTGCAAACCGCTGATCAGTCAATCAGTTTGTTTTTTTGTTTTTACTCCAGGAACTAATTACTGACTTGTACTGCAAGCCAACAATCATTTCAAAACAAACATTGTTAAAAAATAAATTAATTAATAAATAAAAAATAAATTAAAAAAAGACTTGAACATTTTCCAATTATTCTTGCTAAAATGGTCATGGTCAATGGTTGTTTACACAAAGAGCCCAACTATACGATTGTCTCCTAATATGGCTTGACTTTCTCTTTCAGTGTGAGTTTTATACCAGATTCAAATGACAAATTACAAGCAGATGTTAATAATTGTATTATATTATTGTCACCGACTCGGTCCCAGTCATTCCCCTCGCTGGCCAGCAGAGGTCATCATCACCGGACTATTGACATTACGTCATCCACTTAAGCCTGATTTATACTTCTGCGTCAAGTGACCGGCGTAACCCACGGCGCAGGCAACGCGCGTGGCTGTGCATTTATTATTCTGCGCGCTGTCTCTGTCGGTCTGCATTAACACTTCCGAAATGCTAGTGGGCAGTGAGGTGTAAATATTCCTCTGTGTCGAGTTTCTTCGCTGCTTTTTTGCTTTTCCTGAACACTTCCGGGATGTACAAGTGGCTCAAACTCGCTCATTTTGAGGCAGGAACCGGCGGACGTGCAACAACTTATGAGGTAAACACAAAACAAAACTTTCCATCCGGAGCTCCTTCATGGGACTCCACACTTGTAAACAATCGCTCGCGACATTCGCATGGCTCTCGGTCCCGCCCAGACTCGTCAGCGCTACCAAGCCGACCAATCACAGA